ACTGAGAGGGCGTTAGGGAGCTGGCTGAGATGAAGCTGAAGAATGGTGATTTCCCTCTGGTCCTCTAAGGGAAAGTGAGAGGAATGACAAAAATGACAAAGTCCCAGACTCTGACAGCAGCAGAGATAGGCAGAGATCAAAACGGATTGTGTTAGAAACATCAAACTACACATTTATTGTCCCCCCCACTCCAAAACACACACGCTCCTGCTAATGTTTTCTTTGCATCCATGAGCAACAATGGCTCTAGATAGGTGGAGATGTGTATATATATATATATATATATATATATTTATATATACATTTGTTTGTATGTAAAAACATACATACATATATACATACATATATATCAACTCTACATATATATAACTCAACCTAGAATCTTTTTTTGAATCTTCAATCTGTTTGCTAAATTAATATAATATGTTTTAAACACTCCAGAAGGTCACTGATCCCTTTATTAAACATTGTTAAATCCTTCATTTTTGAAGCTGCTAATTGACAAAAACAGAGCTGTTTTAAAATCATTCAGACAGTTATGAAGTAGAGAAAATCAGGCTTTACTTTTCCGTTTCATTTATTGTATTTAATAAGCAATAAAATAATTGTGGGCCAGTTTGCAATGGCAATACTCCACTATTCAGAGCAAGGTAGGGCTCCAAAATAATCTGCTTAAGGCCTCCAAATGTACAAAGCCGGCCCTGATTCCAAATATAGGTTTTTAACATTTTAAAAGAGATGTTGAATCCAATAAAATATTACAGGCGAAAAAAAAATTGTCACTTGATAGAAGTTGGTCAAAATAATGTAGAAAGGCAACAAGGCAAAGAGATTTGTCCTCGACCATTAAAACCAAGATCAAATATGTGCATAATGACATAAAATATCACCAGATATGGATTACACTCAAGCAAAACTAGTTGTCTAGCTCTAATATATCATCAATACATTCTCTGGTTTGTGAAGTAGTTTGTGTTTTGGGTCAAAAAGCCAACTTTCAAGGTGCAAAATATGAGATTTCAAAAATAGCCGGAATATCATTTCATCCATAATAGCACCGAAACACTAAATCACATCCAAACATCCTACAAAAGTCATGTCAACAGTGAGTTTGTGAACTTGACAGCGTGCTATTGCAAAACTAGCCTCTGCCAGACCCTGGATTCTCAAAAGAGGCTTTTTTTTTATTGAGCATGCAAGCAGCGTGCAACATTCAATTGCTCCTCAGCTTCTTTTCATCCACTCCACACTTTCATCTTCCCCTTCTCCTCACATAAGTGGCTTTCCAATATTTTCCATTAACCATCAGCTAGAATCATTCACATCAACCTGAGTAATTTCCGCCTTCCCTTGAGAAAAGGAAGCCACCTGGACAGGAAAGGCTAAGAGCATTAAAGGAAAGAAAAGTTGCACAAAGGCCGGCCGATGACTTCTGACAAGTCACTCATTGTAACTTCAAGTAAAGTGCAATGCAGTGTTCGCTTTCAGTAAAGGTTTTCTTTATTTTCAAGTATGCAAATTATTGTGGAGTGAATCCTCCCAGCTTCCAGACAAACAAAGGCAGCGCGGCTCTTTCGCATTGCTGGAAATGAGTATTGCGTACCGCCACTTACACTTGATTGATTCGCCTGCAGTTTCTTAGTATGCAAGGTTAAAGCAGACTAGACACTGAGAGCTCGGCATCTACCATCTATTCTTTATTATGCCCTCTAAATACAAGTTTTAGGCCGAGAGTCCTCTGCGCTTCAGTGCACATACCTGATTTTTTATCCTCAACTAACCTCACATAACAGCAAATATATCCTCAGTAGACGTTGTGTAAAAATGGATGGGAACCGATACAGGTCATTTATGTTGATGATATTCTACGGGACAGTGTTGCTCTGCTGAGGACAGCAAGGTTTGTCACAGCTGTGCAGGGATTTCACTTTTTTTTTATCTCTCAGAGGGCCTTAAATGGCTTTTTTTGGCCTACAAGTTTTATTATACTTGCCCTAAGACAAGAATGGGTGTTGTTTAATAGTTTTAGGACAAGTTTTAAGAATGGTTTCAAATGCTGAATGCTGTACATACTGGAGCTGTCAGAATACTGGAAAGCATTTGTGTGTATTTACAGCAAAAAAAAAAACTCTAGGTGTTGTCACGATACACAATTTAATGTCAATCAGTAGGCCCACACGCAATCTGCACACACAATTCCGCAGATTTTTAGCATATCATTAATTCTGTTTTTAAATTAAGTATAGTAATATTATTGACATGTGAAAATGTTTATCTGATTTATGTACAATGCAGTTTGTAAAGTCATATTTTACTATTTTAGTTGATATATTACGAGAGACTTGCTTTGTTTATCAAATAAAGTCAATCTAATTGAATTTGCATTTTAAACATTAAATAAAAAATGTACTACTTTTTATTTCACATACTAAGGTTTTAGTTATGAATCTCCCAAAATCATTCCGCAGAAATCCGCAGATTTTTACCAAAAATTATCTGCAGAAATGGCAAAAAACCTCCGCAAATTCCGTCTGGCCCTACCAATCGGTACTGAAATTTTAAAAATCGTCCATTTCCCACTAACATCTGAGCGCTGTTGAGCGCTGATTTGCCATTGTGTTCACATGCTCAGAAATAATCGGCTGTGAAGGTCATCAGTTCACCGATCTCACCGCTGTTTACTGAGTGTAAACACAGATACAGGGACGCTGGAGTGTTTTCAAGTCATGTCAATCCGCTAGTTTGTCTATAAGCTGACATACTGGTGATCCGCTGATGAACCACAGAGTGTTCCTGTATCTGTGTTTATACTCAGAAAAACAGCAGTGAGTTTGCTGAACTGATGACCTTCATGGCCAATCACAGTCATTTCTGTTGAGCATGTGAACACAATAGCAGATCAGCGCTGTTTAAGAACGTGCTCATCAGCGCTCAAATGTTAGGGGGAAATGGACGTTTCTAAAATGTCAGTATTGATTGGTACCGAATTCCAGTATGGTGACAACCCTAGTACATACACAAAGTATATAAATACAGTAAAGTGACGAACCCTGTTGCTTCCCATTTAGAGTCAGTGGTGTAGAAAATCTAAGAGGTGAGGTTTTTTATCATAACTTCTATTCGTATGAATCCTTGTTGTTTGTATGCTTTTTACGCCTAATATTCTGACAAATATCAATTAACATTAAATAAACCCATGAAAGGAAACTGCCAGGTTCAACATTTGTTGGAGTCCACCAAAACATTTGCGAATAACCTCCCTGTTAAGTGTTTTAGTGTTAAGTGTTGTCATTAAAGGATTAGCTGCCAGTTACACAGGGTTTCTTATATAATTGATGAATTTACCAGTATAGGTGCAGATTTAAAGCAACACTCCACTTTTGTGGGGGGAAATAGACTCATTTTATAAGTCAT